TCAATGGAGAGAAAGTAAACTAATGAGGTGCAGAATACAGAAAAGGCATACGCGAACACGTATTGCGCGCCGTATTTCTTGGCAAGAGGAAAATATTTACATATTGCTTATTTTGTAAAACGTTTGACATAGTCAGAAGTATTTGGGGTTTTGTGCTGCTAGTACTGGAGCAAAGGGGCAATATTGTGATGTAAAGGAGAACACGCCAATAGTAGGAAGTCGAGCATACGATCCGCAGCATTGCGCTGTGTACTGCAACTTTGAGATGTCCCATGTAAAGAGAGAGCCAGTATGATCCAATCTAAGAAATTAAAACTATGTGTAGCAGGCAGATATGGTTCTGAAATTTAACTTTGATGAAATGTGGAATGACCACAATTAACACAATGTGAATACTACAATGAACGCAGTTTGAATTCCACATAGTTCTTCTCAGTAAACACAGTCAATTTTTGTATATATATATATATATATATATATATATATATATATATATATAAGTAAATTAGAAACATGTGCGTCCAGAAAGGTTTGTTTGAAAGCTAACAGATTACAAAGCTGCCATCTTGGCAGCCGTTCTGAATTTACCTTGCGACTGCAGTGTACTCTTTCGACGAAAGGATTGCTCTTTAGAAAAGATAGACAGAAAGTTCAAACACCTTTTCACTTCCGAAAAAGAGTACGCTGTTTTGTCCCGAATTGTCAATAATATGCTCGAAACTTTCGTAACCCAGACGGTTCGGAGTTAGACGTACATGTACTACTTTCTCTGCTTCGTTAACGAGTTTACGTCAAGTATTCGGCTTAAGAAAGTATTATCTTAGCGACCGGATTACAACGGTCCTAGGGCAAGCAAAAAAATCCTTTAAGACGTTTTTGTAGAGCTCATACGTCCCGTGCCAAGTATGACTGACTAGGATCAGCCATCTGCAACCGTCGTAGCACGTTAGACTTCCTGATTCAGCGCCAGCAACACTACCGTGGCGGCAATTGCGGTCGTCTAAACGGAATGGATTGTGATCAGGAAGTTGTACTTTGCGTCAAATTTGTGACCGGTATAATTTGGCCAGCACGCCCTTTTCCGGAAAGCATGTTCTCCCTCTTTGAGATGTTTCGTTGTGACCCTTCGGTTTCGTTTCTAGACTGGTGAAGTTCGTTGATGTTTTCGATCTTCCCGAACGTCGTCTATGAACATCCTCGAGAGTTCCACCCATTTCGAATCTGTCCTTTATCCTATTCAGTGTATATCGTGTAACTGGATCTGTTCGATATTCTCTACGATTTATTTTGAGTGCTAATGCCACAGATTCATACTTCTAATAGCATTTTAAAATAAATTAGTTTGTGTTGACTTTCTTTTTCATACATCTTACGTTAATTCTGTGTCGAGGGATGATCGACTTTAAGTTTAATCTGTGCCAAAAAAAAAAATTTACAAAAATCTTGTTGATAAACAAATGAGTCTGCATAGTCAGAAATTACAACTGCTGGAGACATACATACATGGATGCTGTGTGGCTGTAAGGCTGAAGGCGCGGATCTCACAATCTCCACAGTAGTGTCCAAAAAAATCACATAGCCGAAATACTTAAAAAACCTTGATGGAATGAACGATTTAACGTATTTTTCAACCTGGATCAGGAACAGAAGAGAAAAACTTGAACGATTAATCCACTTTATCACGCCTAATGGTATGCACGAATAGGAATAGGCATAGCCGCGCGCTATATTTATGTTAGGCTCGGGCAGAAGTAAATTCAGCCTTAGTGTGAACAGTACTGAAGAATCCCTTTATCAGCTAACTAAACTGTCTCTTTTCAGGGGATATTTTGCCGATTTCGTCACTTTCCTAAATCTATTTTAATTATATAGGAAGCTTCCCGTTATTATTTTATATTAAAAAAAAAGTATATCATAGCTGTAATGTGAAATAATTGCCGTATGCTACTTTGAGAGGTTGTGAGTAGGTGCTACAGCGGTATGGTCTACACTTGGTGCTCCTAAAACATAGTGGCATACTGTGTGCTTACTAGCCTTTGCGCTCTCATACACGGAAGTCAAACATATGCTATACTAAATTTCACGCGATCATACTTAGCCAATACATTGAGATTTTGCTTTAGGTAGGTACGCCAGTTCTCTTTTTAGCTGTACAATATATACACATATTTAGTATACAGAATATAATTATTACGATATACCTTAGCCAAACACCAGTTTGTTGTACATTCGTCTTCGTTTCGACATTCTGCTCGTGCTCAACTATTTCGACATGCTTGTGCGATAGCTTGTCATTTATTTCAGCTTTTTACGGCCATAATAATTTATACAAATAACTTGATTCCATATGGTGTTGATCCAAACAATGAGAAGCCTTTTTTCCAGTGTCCTGTGACTGCCGAAATTTCAACCCACACCATATTGTAATAAGAAATTAAGCAATGCCTTGAACTAAGAGACATTTTGCTTTGACAGGCACTGAACGGTAAAGAAAGATCAACCAAAACCATTCCGTTGATGCACATTGGTTATCTTTCAGGTGACCTATGTTTTCATGTGCGCTCCAAGATTTTGTTTCGTATTTAAGGTTCAAAAATAGTTATATGTCTCTTTTCCATAATTCTCTCTCGATTGTGCTTTGACTAAAAGGGCGTCGAGTCTAGTCTGAGGGCACGGACCACACTTACATTCATTGTTAGGGGGACACAAAAATTCCCCCACTAACTCGAATGTAGTCGCCCGCCTGCGCTTACATGAGGACCCCAAAAAAAACAGTCACGCGCATTGAACCCGGGGTCATTCCAGGTCTCGCTTTTCGGGTGCGCCAATCTAGGGGGGACGCGTATAATAAATTACACCCAGTAAAAGTTTTAAAAGGTACTAACGGCTTATGAAAGGTTGGCAATTAATGTTTGTTAAATAATTAATGATTGTCAATTTCACCCGAATTTCATCGAAGCGGCACCTTCTACATCGCTTATTCAGCTTTTGGATTCACGCTCTGTTTAGGTAAACAGTTGGTCGGGCCTAATTCCACTTTGCTGTACTCTATCCTATACAATTGGATGCATTCAAGTTGTAGACATATACACATGCTTTTTGTGTCGACGATCTTGAAAATCCGCGGATCTGTAGTCGTGTCAATCTATTTTCATTAGAATGCATTGTTTGTTATCCTTGTTGATCTTTAACTCCAAAACCTGCGGCAAAGATAATGTTGAGCGCGAGCACCGTCGAAGAACAATTATGAATAGTACGAACCGAGAGTCGTTAAACTCGTGCCTTTTCTTCCAGCCAACACGAATAATGGCATAATTTGTTTCTGGTTGTTTTTCTGTAGCGTTAAATTTTGCAGACAACTATCTGTTTCCACACAGTTTGTCGAGGTCGTGTAGTATTCTGTAATCTGGTACTGATGTCAAAACGTTATGTAGGCATGTTCGATTCCGTACATTGTAATATGCAGCCTAGATCGTCGCGGCGCTTCTGCAGCTGCTGCTATGCCATCTGCTAAGGGATTTCCTCCTTTCTCAGTTCTCCTTCCTTAATGAGCTTCGTGAAGCAATCGAGGTCTAACAAGCTGTTCAAGAATGAAATTCTATTCTACTCAATTCTGTTAGGGAGAATAAGCACGACTGGGCCATACGAAGTTAGGCTCAAGGAAAGACTGTTCGACGATGGATAATAGAAAACTCTTTCGTACGCTAAAGTCCAGGAAGTACTTTATGTAGCTTTGCCTTGCTAACATAATAGCTTCAAGCGGGTTCTGCTGAATAGTTGACTTTCTGGTTTGGTAAGGGGTAACATCTGCGAGCCTCTGAATTGTCATCAGCGATTTAAAATATGAGCTTCTCCGTTTTCTCTTCTTTAAACTAAATTGTTAATGTTAAATTTATAAGTAAGATTATATTCAATTAGAGGAATTTATAATGTAAAATTGTTTCGAATATCTCAATATGATCCTTCGCAGTTTCCGAAAATTGAGAAATACGCAAATTATCTCCACGCAGTCTGGACTTGAATCGAAAACAGATCGTACAGCAGCTTCCTTCCATTGAGCCGAACAGCCTAAACTTGCTCGAATGGCCGCCTTTTGTTGTCGGGCGCACACAGTTAAACATCGAAGTTGATTGTACTATTGAAGGTATCGGCCTCTACTGAACACCAAATCTGTAAACGGCCCTCTTAGTAAAAAACAATCAGAACAATTGAAGCATATTATTTTTTCGTTTTTTATTATGGACACGCGTATGGTTCATGCATCCGTATCGGATACGACGTGCAAGTGCCTTTCATTTCACTGTACCTTTGTGAACTCTTGCGATGCGCAGAAGGGCCTGTGACGTCAATGCAGAAATTGAGACAGCATGAATATTATAACGTAGACCACTTAATGCGAATAGCTAAGAAAAACAAAAAGTCTAGGAAGTTTACATTGATATATTCGGCTAGAAAGACTTTAAATTTGAAGAAAACTCAAAACTTAGAAAGTCAGTAATCTTCCAGTATCAACAGTCGATTTATATATTTGATTATAAATAGGCAAAAATTTGATTTTTTTTCACACTATAGGACGACTTCTGTTAACTTTATATCATGGATTGAGGTATATGAGTGTGTCATCTGTACCTCTACAACACAGAAATCTACAGATGGTACTAGACGTATATTTTTAGATTACTTTTCTCTGGAGCAGTGTTTATTCCGTAGACGAATTGTTCTGATAATGCACAAGATTGCCGAAAAAAACTGTTCGAAAAATTAGCATCTATCGCGTAAGAAAAACTTCGATGCGCGCAAAACTGACTAAAAGTTTCAAAGCAGTTATATTGCATAACTATACATGCTAAAAGAACAGCCTTTCTGGGAACATATTTCTACTAGGTGTATATATACGGCATTTATTGTGATATGGTGGCAAAATTTTAACGATAAAACGCTGAAGGCAATGCACATGTCGTCTGCTCCAGCGCGGCACACTGTCGACCATTCAAGCTTAATTGTTCGAAGAAGCGTATGCGTGTCAATTATACAAGCGTTTATCTTAATTAATTGAAAGAAATAGCAGCGTCATCAAGATGTTGCTAGCGTCAGCGAAGGCGAGCCACTAATACGAGAGTGCCATCGGAAGCTCCTTAAAGAACGCCGTGAGCAAGCATCCCAATGTACAACTGGGAGTTTTGTTTTCCTCCAACTTGTATATGCTAATAGTATGTACACAATACGACCCTTTGAAGTATACAGATAAGAAGACAGCTTGGACGTTAAGGTAAAGGTTAGCGTTACGACAGCGACGAATACATTGAAATCGATTTCCTAATTCATCAATCATGATTTTTTTTACCTCAGTTGATTATAAAAGACATGCTCATAAATTATTCATTAGGCGTAGCAATAGCATGCGCCTAAAGCAGGTTATGTGCCCTCATCAGCGACTTTGGCAACAGCGAGATCAAACACATAGAACCAGTGACGCTTTGGTCACTCGATCGGGTTTACACCAGGCTTTTGCTAACTTCGAGTAATATAATAGAAACATTGGGCTAAGGTAAATGGAAATTCTAGCTTAAATCCTGAGCGACATTCGACTTTTACTTTACTAAACGCATTCTAATTGTCTGTTTCAGTCGACTCAGTCGTTTTCTTAGAGGTTCAAGCAGGAACAGCTTCTCTTGATAATATTACTTAATTATGTGTACTCTCAAAGTGTTCCACTACAGATCAAAATGTCATGGAAAAACTACTTCAGTTTACTATTTGGTGGAACTGATTGTCACCTATTACGAATATGTTTATGTTCCGTAGTTTACATAATGCTCTATTACTACACAAGCATCTCATTGTTTTCTCCAGAATGACAATGAAATAACGCTTAGCTTATACACCCAGGAAGACTCAAAGGACCGTTTCAATGCGATTTGTGACAAATACGTCAGTAAAACAAATTCCAATTTAAATATTTCAAGTCCAGTGTAGCGGTTTACTATTAGCTACGAATAGGAAACGTACCTTATGATATGATATAAGCGTTAAGAAAGGCACACCGGAGCTACAGCCCAGGCTGCCACGTCGTCTACCGCTTCAAGGAAGGGTAGTTTGCCCGACAAATTGTAAGACCCGTCAGCTCTAGTGTAGAGATCCTGGAGACACGAATCACAGGTAGAGCGTGACTTTCGATGATCAAAGCGGATTGGCAGGCGCGTGCTTTCGATTACAGGTTAAAAGTTACATCACTTTAAGAACCTAGGCTAGCTAACTTGAAAATTTCTCGTCTAAGAACTGCTATGTTGCACACGTAAATTTGTGCAGTGGTCTTGGAACGTGTAGGGGCTAAACTGTAATGGTACTATATAACCTGTTGTTCTTTTGCTGAAAGATTTGCTAGAGTTCAACAAATGTTCGTAGCACCTAAATTTACTTGAGTAAAACCTGCCTATGTTTCATGCCTGTTTCTATATAAAATATAATACATATCATTCAACTTTATCTGTGCAAAGTTCTGTACAGTTAAATCGTTGGATTATATTTATCTCCTCCAGCCAAGTCTTATATAGATCCATATTTATCTATTAATGTACCGCACACAGTTTCTTACGTGCTTAGTAAAATAAAGATATAAACCTAATTTCAACCTGACTATCTCAGCTTTGGATTACATGGCCGAATTACCTGTTGTAACAACCGACCAATTTCAGTCTTTGCACTCCAACGCATTTGCGCGATGTTCTTGCCTGGCAACAAGTGCCACAACGTAATTAACTGATCCCTCATCGAATCCTTACACCTATCAATGAATATGGCTGTAGTTAGAAAAATTTTACTATGAGTCATCGGCTAACATAGCTGTACAGACAATGCCATACTAACCGTGGAATCAACATGCCGGAACGAAATACGGACAAATAAACAAAACAAAGAACGACCCACGATGCCGATCTGCTCTGGCTGTGGGCGAGACAGCGGACCAACAGGAGTGGATGTGTCCACTGGATATCACCCTCAAATGCCTTCAATGTTGAACTGACTTTTTCTATTGCTTGTACTGCAGTTCCCCTTGTTTTTCTCATGCGTAGTTTCAGTTTACTTGACGTTCGTCTCACTGAGGCCGATTCCAGGTACTCCAGCTGAAGCGGCGCGATCGCGCTTGCCGCCATCGATTGTCACATTTTCTACACGGTCGGGACACCAACCCTCCATCGTCTAGCGACGATAGAAGCGAATATACTTCTCCTGCTTTCGGTTGGCTTCTGATCAGCCGGCTGGATCAGCAGGTAGACGGTTAGTCGATCGATAGGAGAAACAAATTTATATGATACATGCCAGTGACGTACCGAAGCCACCATCTTATTGTCGTAGCGACCACAGATTCAACTTTATATATATATATATATATATTTTTTTTTTTTTTTGTATATATATATATATATATATATATATATACAGGCAATTTAAGTTTCGTCGGCAACGCAGGCGGAGAAGAATGGCGACGATAGCCTCCTGTCATGGAACGATTGACAATTGAATATCGATCCTCTCACGGACGTTCTCTAGCCAATTGTACCCATATAATCAAACAGTCCAATCCCACTGGACAGGCAATTGCCGTTGGCGTTGCCGATGTCACTGCTGTTCGTTGTCGCCCGTAGGGAGCGACGCGTCGTTAGTCGAGGATCTACCGAAATCTCCTGGGTGTACTGGTTGCTAATGGCCAATAGTGGCTCCGAACAGTGACTGTCTGCTGTTGTTGTCTATTGGCGTACTACCCTGGTCAGTAACAGGTTATGGCGGTGTGGTGTTCATAACACCATTGGAGATACATGCGAAGCTACCCGTCTTCAATCCATATATCCTCTTGGGAATGGCCCATTCAAGTGTGTATGCTTGTTTATCTATGGTCGTTGTTTCGATAAGTCGTAAAAGCCCACAGCGATTGTTACTCAGACATTAACTCAACACGAAGGAAAAAGCGAACGAGCTACCGTCAACGGCACAGCCGTCACAAGATGGCCAAACGAAGAACCTTCGGAACCTTCATCACCAATCACGATCGGCAGCGTATTAGTCCTACGCAGACGCAGCTACTGACGTAATCAACACAATCGCCTGAAGCCGCTCCATATTGGATAATAGCTCAAACGGTGACAAAGACGAACGAGCACTAAGCGAGCTGAATGACGAGACACTGATAGAGAGAACATGGTGCGATTGCCCAGACCGATGAACACTCCGTTACTGCTGCAGCTTCTGAAGTTTTTTCGTCTATTCCTGCTGTTCAGGCCGCCGCCGCCGCTGCCGCTGCCGCTCATAAAGATATCAGCGAAACAAAGAACGAGCAGTAACTATTACTAACGTGCGTGATGCGAGAGTGCGATAGTGATAAGGAGGTTTATTTTTGATAGAAGGGTCAGTGGTCGGTGTCTAAATGAACGCGATGTGCAGGTTTGTATGCAGCAGTGCGCGTCTCCTTGAAAAGGCAAACTAGTGAAAGCAATCGGTTAAAAATTAAAGAAAACGTCACAGTTGTCAGAGAAGAGTAAATTCATACTATTTTAGTTGCCCGATAGGTAGACGAGAGGTAACCGGCAGGTGGGACGCATATGATAGCTAAAATTAGCCCAATTTAGCCCAGAAATGGTGACGAACTGCGGTGTCAGTAGATTCCGACAAGGCCTCATTTTTGCCGAAGATTTCATCTAGAAACGGCGACAACCAGTTTTTTTTTCGATAGCTAAGACGAATGAACGGTATCGAAAAGGAATTTCCAAGGTCCTCAAGCCGGCTGCGATCGCCAACTGAATAGAACTGAACGCCGGCTGAGGTGAACCCGCCGCTGAGACAGTTTCGATGGGATCGATGTCATAAACGGGGGTGAGAAAGAACAAGGCGCCAGATAGTGAGGTTGTAGGCACCCTGATTCGAGCGATTCAGGACGTTGACTGTTGTTGTTGGCATATTTAAAGAAGGATGCAGCTGTCTCAACGAAGGAAAGCGAACGGTCAATTTTACTTTCACTAGCGATCAGCGGTCGTCATCTAATCTAATGTTTTAGCCGATTCCGATCGAACAGTAAGATAAATACTACGATTAAAAATATAAATAGGACTAATAATAAAATACAGCAGGGTCTAGAAGAAAATGTTCCGACATAGGGTTTGCGTCCAAGCCTAAACGAGAATTCAGTTAACATTTAGGCCATAGCTAATAGGTATCAAAGCGCTTCGTTTCTTGACTAGAACGTAGCGTGGTAGTTTTTTTTTTTCTAATTTAATTTTACTCGCTCTACTTATGCTGTCGGCTATTAGGGAGTTTATGTGATCATTCTACTTGCGTATACTTCACATGCATAGAAGAAGGTCATAGAAATATCACCTTGCATGATAAATAGGTAATATTTGATCTTCTTATAGGCGCAGGACCAGTTATGCTTTGTCACCTAAAATAGAGAAACTCACTTTATATGAACTGATCATTTTCAGAGCCAGGCAAAACAATCCCCCATGAATGACTGAGTAATCTATACTTGCCAATCATTTCCAGCCATTTGTTCGCCAACCGACTTGGTCGTTCGTGTACCTTTTTTGTCTCAGCAGATTCAAAGCGAAGGTCAAACGAAATCGATTAGCTAGATGGGGAAGGCAAGTAACAGCTTTCTCAAAAGTTCGTCAGCATTATTTTGTTTAACCCAAAACGAGCAAGGATAAAATAGGGAAAAACGTTCAATTCCAGTGAAGCTTATTGATGAAAAGAACTTACATATTCATTAAAGTCTCCCTACCGAAATTCGCATTGGGTCAGACGACGCTTTCCAATGACACAGACACTTTTACATAATTAGATTGATAAGGTTTCTGAGTATTCCCTTTTTCTTTTACGTATTTGTTATGAATGCGAACAGATGTATTAACCAGATGACTCAAGTCGCTCTATTTTCATTGTGATGATGCGGATGCAGTGAGAGAGTGCCGTAAAACATTAACGTTACGGCTATACGTTCTCCAGCACGGTACGCCCATGAGCCTGGAGCGAATAAAACGTTCCTGTCATTTTGTATCGGTCCGAGGAGATGGTATCCGTTGTCTGTGTCATGATTTTGCAGAAAGCTGTCTGTGGATGCGGGAAATCGTAGGGGAGGGTCAGGGGTGGAAGTGCTGCAGGAGAGATTTCGTAATCCTGCAGACGGGAAACTTTCACAAACTGTAGACGCTTACTTTATAACATCCATTTGTCTTGAATAGAAGCTTGCATTGGCTTTTCGTTCGCTGTCATCCGTACTTATAGATGTAGCTTATGCAAAAGAAGCAAATCCAACGACAACGAGACCTTGGTGTGCTTGGAAGATGATGCCGCGAAGATATATTTCGTTATTTTTTGCAGGACTGATACAGAAGATTATCCAGAAGAAAATGCTATACGATCGTATGGGGAATGCAGTGATGTGCACAATATGTGGCAATATTTCATTTGGTAGCTGTCTGCACAAGGAAATGGGTGGTCGAGAATGTGGACTTCGCATTCATGATAATTGTTCAATGTTCAATTGTCTTTTCACGTTGGTACAGGTCGAAATCCGTGCTGGAATTATGCCCCAATGCGGAGATGCGGAGCTACGCTAAGGGCTGTTCCATTTATCAGTTCAATTTGAGCATGTTAGAACACTAAGTATATTAGTAACCTACATTAGTAATCGATTTTTTAAATCGATATGCAAAAAGTACATTGAGAATACGAAATACTTTGCCAAGAGTCTGTCCGCAAGTTGCGTTTTTCTATTTTCATTTTTGGCAATATTTCACATGAGGGCCTAGACACAAAAACGTCACGTATACGTGGCGGATAGTTGGGATAGTTTAAATGATCTACACCTGCATTATTAATATTGCCTATAGACAAAATCAGGTAGAATATTGTTACTTAGCACGAACCAGTGCTGATCATTAGCTTTAGGTCTTTGAAGTGATTTCGAGTCAAAAAGAATAATGCCGGTGATAGTAATTAGTAAAATTAGATTTACCCCTTTTTCATTTTTGATTCATTGATACAGGGCAGGGTTTTAGATTTTTTCGTCTAATTTGACGGAAATTATTTGCTTCATAATTTCCGCAAGCCTTAAATCAAACTAATGCTTTTAGGCTATTTAAAGCTGACAGCCACGAAAATTTTCAGCTCAGACTCTGTGGATTTTTCTATTTCGGTAGCTGAGAAATCTGGTCCTAGTGATCCACGCTGTGAGCGACATTTACCTTTCGTGAATCGATACTTGATCAAACATGTATATGTATACATATATGATTGTTAAAACAGATCTATATCTCCTTTCTATCTCATTCAAGTTTTAATAAATCAACATAGTTCCATAGCGAGTACTCTAATAAAGCTTCGATGTCAGTATGTAACTGTAAGCACCTGAGTTTGATAACCCATTCTCGTTGAACTTCTCGGAACGCCTTGTTTCCCAATCGCCAACTTGCTCGAGCGTATTTTAAACATTTTTACCTGTCTACTCCTTCGCTTGACGTTATTTTGAGGCAAGTTCTCAAGTATACAACTTAGGTACATTTTTATTAACGATAGGTGGACAAAAACATTGGCAAATCGCAATGTATGAAACTCATACGAATTCGTGAACGACGTCGCGTAAAACCTGCCTTCCAGTATTACGAAATATATCCAGTCCTTCTTGTTTCGTAAGCTTTTCTTGTTGTCCTCTCTTGGCATTAGGTACCGAGGGCGCAATAATGCTCTAATCGTTTTGTCTGATCACTGGTCTGACTGTTTGTCGCTTTGATGCCGCGCTTTATCATGTGCAAACGTTAATGCTGCGAAGACAAACATAGCAGGTATCTGACATTTTATATGTTAGTGGAAAAACATTTAATGTGTTTTTCATTATACCCTGTTACAGAAAAGCGAGCATAGAGCCTTCTACCAGCCCTAGGCTTTATCCTACTTAAACACCTTACACTGATCTATGTAGTTCTTAAGTGAATTATTTATTGTGGACTACATTTTCTGAAGCGTCTCGAACGATCAGTACACGGTTTTGCCTGCTCCATTGTATTGCGACCATTGCAGAAAGATACGATAAGCAAACACAAAAATGTATGGGGCATAAGCTTATTATACAATGCAAAAGTAGAAAAGTTTTAAAAAAAGAGTTTAACTTAACCATCGCCTAGCAAATTAGTTCAGAGTATAACCCATTATTTTAATCATTCTTGATTAACTAATAACCTCCTTCTTGCGACACGTCTATAGAAGAAAAAATATAATATGCTCAAAGGCAACTTTATATATAGCTTAATTCCTGTCTTTCCAGGATGTTTCGAC